AAGCAGAGAGTAGAATAGTGGCTGGGAAAATGTTGGTAAAAGGCACAAAGTTTGGCTATCCAAATATCCAGGGTTTCAACAAATTTTGTTGGAAGAATAACGTACAATAACTATACTTAATAACATTTTGTCTTAAAATCTGCTAACAGATGACTGCAAGTGTCCTCACTATGCAAAAAATCATTAACTATGTAAAGTGAAGGACGTAAGAATTGCTTTGACTACAGTAATCATGTTACAATGTATATATTTAAGAAAATCATATTGTACCTCATATATTTATGTATCTTTCTCTTATCACATACACCTCAATAAAGCTGGGGAAAATTTTTAGAAATAAAAATAGATCAATATACAATTAGAATATTAAAAGATTCCGTATTTGCTTTCTCAGAAAGAAATTTTTTTCAAAATTATAATGCATCAAAGAAACTTACTTCTAGTCATTTTCCAGTGAGATAATTTTAGCACTCGTGACCAATTTACAAACTCTGGGAAAAACTAATATAGGTAATCTCTGTATAGGAAATCTAGTAAGTTACATAGTTCTATTTATGTAAAAGAAAAATATAGAAAGAAAAGGCAGAAAAAAGTGAAGGAGAAGGAATCAAGAACATGGAGAATGAACAGAAAACAAGCAGAAACATGGTAGCCAATAATACAAAGATATCAATAATATTAACAATATTAAAACTCAAAGGTCTAAGGGACGCCTAGGTGGTGCAGTTGGTGAAGCATCTGCCTTTGGCTCAGGTCATGATCCCAGGGTCCTAGGATCGAGTCCTGCATCGGGCTCCCTGCTCAGCGGGGAATCTGCTTCTCCCTCTGCTTGCCACTCCCCCTGCTTGTGCTCGCTCTCTCTGACAAATAAATAAAATCTTTAAAAACAAAAACAAAAAAACCACCCCAAACCCTCAAATGTCTAAATACACTAAAAAATATGTAATTAAAGCATGTAAACATGTTACAGCCTAGTATATACTACAAAAAAGGAATCCATATTAGAAGACATTGGAGACGACACTGTACACAAGAAAGCTAGAGAAGTGACAATTCAAACAATTATAATTTCAGACAGAAAAGTACTGAAATTACTTTTTTCAGACAGAAAAGTACTGAAAGTACTTCAGACAGAAAAATACTAAAAGACTAGCAAACTAAATTAAAGGTAAGCAGAAGATATTTTAAAAATTAGATGATAAATCAATGAAGAGATTTGTAACAAGGAAGGGAATTGCAACAGTTATCAAAAAACATTCCCCAGGGGCGCCTGGATAGCTGTCAGTTAAGCGGCTGCCTTCGGCTCAGGTCATGATCCCAGGGTCCTGGGATCGAGCCCAGAATCGGGATCCTTGCTCAGTGGAGAGCCTGCTTCTCCCTCTCCCTCTGCTTGCCTCTCTGCCTACTTGTGCTATCAAATAAATAAATAAAATATTAAAAAAAGAAAAAAAAAAGAGTGAGGCTCCTGGCTGGCTCAGTCAGTGGAGCATGTGACTGTTGATGTGTGGGTCATGAGTTCAAGCCCTACATGGCAGGGCTGCAGCGGGGGGCGGGGGGGTGGGTAGGCCTACTAAAGATAAAAAAGAAAAGAAAAAAAAAAAAAAAGAAAACAAAGCCTAGGAGCCGAAAAAGGTTCACTGGTGAATACTACTAAAGAAGAATGAAAACAAATCAGTCATTTCTTGTTAACAATTTAAAGGGAGAAACTACAGAAATTTATTCCATAATGCCAAAATCATGATGACAACAAAGTCAAAGATACTATATAATAAAAAAGACAAATAACCCCTTAAGGATAGAAATACAAATATTCTCAGAAGGGCCAACAAGCCTATGAAAAGGAGCTCATAAGTGAAATGCAAATCAAAACACAATGAGATGTCAGTTTGCACTCACTAGGATGACTACTATCAAAACAATAGGTGCCATCAAACGTAGAAAAATTGGAACCCTTGTGCATTGTTGGGAGGAATGTAAAATGGTGCAGTGACTATGAAAAAGAGTACCGAGATTCCTCAAAATACTAAAAATAGAATTAACTATGACCCAGCAATCCCACTTCTGGGTATATATGTAAAAGAATTCAAAGTACGCTCTTGAAGAGATGTCTGCACATCCACGTTCATCAAAGAATTGTTCACAATAGCCAAGAGATGGAAGCAACACAAATGTCTATCAACACATGAATGAATAAAGAATATGTGATAATATATACAGAGAAATTTTATGTAGCCTTAAAAAGGGCGGGAAATCCTGTCACATGCTACAATATGGAAAAACGTCCAGAACATCATGCTAAGCATTGACATAAAGCAGTTAACCCAGTGACAAAATACTATATGATTCCAATCATACAAAGAATCTAAAGTAGCCAAAATCATAGAAACGCAGAGCAAAAAAGTGTGCCAAAAGGCAGTACTGGTGATGCCGTGCGTGGGTAAATTAGCATTTAGTGAATATACTGTTTCACTTCTGCAAGATGAAATAATTCTACAGTTTCTTGAAATCACATAAATATATTTAATATAAAACTATCAATTTAAAGTGGATAAAAATGTTATGTATTTTTTACCATAATAAAAATATTAAAATTCCTCAAAATATTAACAACCAAATTTGTAAGTATATTAAAAATATTATACCGAATGACCAAGTGAGATGTATCCTAATAATTCAAGAGAGTTTCAACATACTAATCAGTATATTTTATTTTAATAAATCTATTTTTATTTTAATAAAACTATTTGAAGGCATCTGGGTGGCTCAGTTAGTTGAGCAGCTGCCTTCAGCTCAGGTCATGATCCCAGGGTCTGGGATTGAGCCCCATATTGGGTTCCTGGCTCAGTGCGGAGCCTGCTTCTCCCTCTGCCTCTGCTGCTGCTCCCCCTGCTTGTGCTATCTCTCACTCTGACAAACAAACACATAAAATCTTAAAAAAAAAAACAACTTTTTACACATCACATAAATATGACGAAGGAAAAAACTCTGTGCTCATCTCAACTGATTCAGAAAAAAAATAAATTGCAACCTTTTCATGATAAAAACGTTTAATGAGGAAAGAATAAAAAGAAAATCTCAACAGGATAAAGATCCTATATGAAAAGCTTTGACTTAATATTATACTCGATGATAAAAGACTAAAAGCTTTCTATATCAGTAACAAGACAAGGATGTCTAATATCACCTCTTCTATTCAATATAGAAAAGCATAAAGCAAAGCAAAGGCAAATGAACATAAAAATTGGGGAGGGGCGCCTGGATGGCTCAGTCATTAAGCGTCTGCCTTTGGCTCAGGTCATGGTCCCAGGGTCCTGGGATCGAGCCCCACATCAGGCTCCCTGCTCAGCGGGAAGCCTGCTTCTCCCTCTCTCACTCATCCTGCTTGTGTTCCCTCTCTCGCTGTGTCTCTCTCTGTCAAATAAATAAATAAAATCTTTAAAGAAAAAAAAATTGGGGAGATGGAAGTAAAACTGTATTTGTAAAAGACATGATTTCATATACTAATAAAATTCTGAAGAATTCATAAAGAAACTGAATTCAGCAAAACTCTAAGTATAAAACTTGTATTTCTACATAGTATCAATGAACAATTCAAAACAATTAAGGAATTAAGAAAAAAATAGCAGCTACCTACAATAGCAGCAAAAAGGACAAATACTCAAGAATAAACAAACAAAACTAAAAAGGAGCAACTGTGTTGAAAGAAATGGGAAACCTAAATAAAAGACAACATGTGTTGATGCACCGAAAGACTTCATATTAAGATGTCAATACTACCAAATGAATCAATAGATTTAATGTAATGCCTTTCAAAATTCCAATGGTGTTTACTGCTGAAATGGGAAAAACCTATCCTAAAATTCATATAAACAATCCAGTTTCAGAATGGATTTACTTATTTATTTAAATGATCTTATTTATTCATTTGAGAGAGATAGCACAGGGAGGCGGATGGAGGGAGGGGACAGAGAAGCAGACTCCCAGCTGAGCAGGAAGCCTGATGCTGGGCTTGATCCCAGGACTCTGGGACCTAAGCTGAAGGCAGATGCTCAACCGAGCCATCCAGGCACCCCTAAAAATGGATTTAAAAAGACATTTCTCCACACTAGACAAAACACATGAAAAAAGTGCCCAACACCATATTTGGAAATAAAAATCAAAACCATCATAAAATGTTATGTAATACCCACTGGGAGGGCTACTATTTTAAAGAAAGTTAAAAAATAATAAGCCTGGGAGAGGATATGGAGAAAAACGAATCTCTATACATTGCTTGCGGCAATATAATACAATGAGCCACTTCAGTTTTGTGGACCCTCAAAAAGTTTAACATAGAATTACCAAGTAATATCTATTTCCAAGGCACATTCTCAAAAGAACTGAGAATGGGTACTCAAAGGGTTCACAGCAATTATAGCAGCAGCATTTATAATACCCAAGAGTGGAAACAACTCAAATATCCAACAACAGATGAACTTCATAAGCAAAAACATGGTATATACAGACAATGGATCATTCAGCTTTAAAAAGGAAGGAAATTCTGCAATTTGCTACAACATGGATGAACTTTGAGAACATCATGCTATATGAAACAATCCAAGCACAACAGGACTAATACTGTGTGATTCCCTTTACGTGAGGTACTTCTAATAGGCAAGTTCACAGAGGCAGTGTATAAATCAGAGGTAAACCAAGGGATAGAAGGTTTGGAAAATGGGAATTATGACTTAAAAAAATTTGTCTGGATAATGAAAAATTTAGGAGATAGTGGTGATGACCGCATGACACTTTTAATAAAAGTTCTTAAGGCCACTGAATTGTCCACTTAGGTTAAGTGAAACATGTTAAATACAAGTTTCCTAAATATCAAAGCACTATGTAGACAACCAAAAGACTTCCTTATTTGACTTCTGAGATAAATTATGATCAAAACTAATTCCTTTCTGCTTAAAAGAAAAAGGTCAACCTTCTTCTAAATTAAAAAAAAAAAAATCACTTACTTGCTGGGACAGTGCAATAATAAGTCAATGATAAATGTCTGCCAGGCTTTTTCTTTACTAAGTGCATCCAAGGCTGTTGGAATCAGAGCAAAACATAATGTCATCACTTCCAATGCTTCACAGCAAACCTGTTCATCCTCCATGTCTGGCTCACTGCTTGCACTGGGGGTCTGTAAAGTTAGAATCAAGAATAAATTACTCTTTAAGACACACTTAAGTGTTTTATTTTCAAAATAAAATTATATATTGTCATCTTAATTATAGCTGTAAGTTTACTTTAAATTAATAGGGGCGCCTGAGTGGCTCAGTGGGTTATGTGTCTGCCTTCGAGTCGGGTCATGATCCCAGGGTCCTGGGATTAAGCACTGCATCGGGCTCCCTCCTCAGCAGAGAGCTTACTTCTCCCTCTCTGTCTGCCCCTCCCCCAGCTTGTGTGTGTGTGTGCATGTGTGCACTCTTTCTCTTTGTCAGATAAATAAAATAAAATAAAAAAACCCACAAACCACCCCCCCCCCAAAACTAATAGATACAAATGACCTGGTCTTTAAAATATGGCAGAGATGATGAAAATTTAGTGCACAATTAACTTTTATATAAAAGGAATATAGTTTTGTAATAATTCTTACCATCTCATAAATTTTTGTGATTTTTTCATTTGGGCTAAATACCAAATCTAATGCCCCACATCCTGATGCCCAGATGATTTTTTGTATAGCTCTAATTACACAAGTATCAGGCATGTGTCTTGAAGCCTGAAAGAAAATGAATACTTAAAAATGCTGACAAAATATCAAGTAAAGTTATCAGAAAACAAAACATTTCTCTTTTTGACAGTAGTATAAATGGCTTTAAGAACACAAATATGTTCCACACTGTCTTTAATATCTAAAGTAGCTTTTGTCCCATTTTTTTAAATCTTCACCTCAAGTCATAAAATTTATGCAGATGAAATAAAACACATTTATCAGCTACAGCCTAAGTATGCTTCAGGTTAAGATCTATTCTGGCTCTATAGATATTTTTCTTAAGAATTTTTAAAACAGAGGCAAACCAAGTCACCCAGTCAGTCATTCAATTCCTATGTGTTTAATAGGTAAGAAAAAAATCAGCTAACCAAAGCACGCGTGATTTAGAGAATTTTCAAAATAAATAGTTTCATTCGCAATAGTAAAAAACTAGAAATAATCCTAATGTCTATGAACAGAATATGTAGGATGACCATAAAATGTAGTACCACTCAAAATGGAATAAACCACACACACATAAATGACTGTGAAATTTTAAAATCATGCTGACTGGAATAATTTAGACATAAAAGTACAAAAATGATCACATTTGTACAAAATTTAAGAAACAGAGAACTACTCTATAATGACAAAAAGCAGAGCAGTGGTTGCTTAGAGCCAGGAGCAGAAAACTTCTGGGGTTGATGAAAATGTTGTTTTCTTGACTATACCATTACTTTAAACTCACCACATGCTTTATTTTGACCTAGTTCATGCAATATAAATAATATCTCAAACAGCCTGTTTAAAACGTAGTTTCAAAAGTCTGAATATTAGTAGATAACTTTAATAAGTAGAATTTTATGAAACTTAAGCAGAAATAAAATAAAATTATGGTCTAGAATACTTAGCCCTAGATTGTGATAATCTTCATTTAATTATGAGTAAGCAGATACTGTATCAAGAATAATAAAAAACAAACCACCCCAGACTCTGAGCTTTCAGTTTTATACTAACCTCATCAGATATTTGCTGGGCAAGACACATGGATACATTTCTAAGCATGCACTCAGATGATGGATTAAGAATAATCTGAAGGGCATTTTGTAGCACCACTGCTTGATCATGTGTAACTTGATTAATCTGTAAAAGTTAACATTTTTACTCGGGAGTAAAAATCTTATACATAAGCACATTTTCAAGTATTTGTACACTATAAAAGCCTGACCCTCTGTTCCTCATCCAGCAACACTCTCTTAGGATGTAATCCTTCCACGTATCCACTCTACAATTTATGGTGATCTGCAGAAAAAGCATTTCAGATCGCTAATTACACAAGTATCAGGCATGTGTCTTGAAGCCTGAAAGAAAATGAATACTTAAAAATGCTGACAAAATATCAAGTAAAGTTATCAGACAACAAAACACTTCTCTTTTTGATAGTAGTATAAATGGCTTTAAGAACACAAATATGTTCCACACTGTCTTTAATATCTAAAGTAGCTTTTGTCCCATTTTTTTAAATCTTCACCTCAAGTCATAAAATTTATGCAGATGAAATAAAACACATTTATCAGCTACAGCCTAAGTATGCTTCAGGTTAAGATCTATTCTGGCTCTATAGATATTTTTCTTAAGAATTTTTGAAACAGAGGAAAACCAAGTCACCCAGTCAGTCATTCAATTCCTATGTGTTTAATAGTAAGAAAAAATCAGCTAACCAAAGCACGCGTGATTTAGAGAATTTTCAAAATAAATAGTTTCATTCGCAATAGTAAAAAACTAGAAATAATCCTAATGTCTATAAACAGAATATGTAGGATGACCATAAAATGTAGTACCACTCAAAATGGAATAAACCACACACACATAAATGACTGTGAAATTTTAAAATCATGCTGACTGGAATAATTTAGACATAAAAGAGTACACAAACGATCACATTTGTGCAAAATTTAAGTTCTTTATAGAGAACTACTCTATAATGATAAAAAGCAGAGCAGTGGTTGCTTAGAGCCAGGAGCAGAAAACTTCTGGGGTTGATGAAAATGTTGTTTTCATGACTATACCATTACTTTAAACTCACCACATGCTTTATTTTGACCTAGTTCATGCAATATAAATGATATCTCAAACAGCCTGTTTAAAACGTACTTTCAAAAGTATGAATATTAGTAGATAACTTTAATAAGTAGAATTTTATGAAACTTAAGCAGAAATAAAATAAAATTATGGTCTAGAATACTTAGCCCTAGAATGTGATAATCTTCATTTAATTATGAGTAAGCAGATACTGTATCAAGAATAATAAAAAATAAACCACCCCAGACTCCGAGCTTTCAGTTTTATACTAACCTCATCAGATATTTGCTGGGCAAGACGTATGGATACATTTCTAAGCATGCACTCAGATGATGGATTAGGAATAATCTGAAGGGCATTTTGTAGCACCACTGCTTGATCATGCGTAACTTGATTAATCTGTAAAAGTTAACATTTTTACTTGGGAGTAAAAATCTTATACATAAGCACATTTTCAAGTATTTGTACACTATAAAAGCCTGACCCTCTGTTCCTCATCCATCAATACTCTCTTAGGATGTAATCCTTCCACGTATCCACTCTACAATTTATGGTGATCTGCAGAAAAAGCATTTCAGATCGCTAACACTGTAGACTTCTC